AGGGGAGACTGACCAAATATATGGTTGTTACCCTGTGGGTCGATGACATCAGGTTCAATTCTTGTTCGTCCATTCAGATTTCCAGTTAGGAACCACGTTTCCCTGAGTCTGGAAATTGATGATTTCTGAGTGGGGAGTTTCAAAAATGTAAGGACAATTTACTGTCAGTCTGGATCTGGTTATGCCCAGGTTTGGTCTAATCTGAACCAGATGTGTGATTTACCCTGTTTTACTGGTGAGATCTGAGTGTACCAAGATCCCATTCGATGTTCTGCCCTTGTGTATCTTTTATTTTATTTTATGAAGGGCACCATGACTTCATTATATCGTAGAGGACAATAAGTGACCAGATCATTATGACACAATTATATCTATGTTTTTAATAAATTTCATGAATTCAGGGTTTCCTCTCTTCAGCTCGAAGGTTGAGGAGTTGAGACCCTGAATTTTCCAGCAACTTACATGAAATGACTGCCTTAACAATAATCAAAATCTGTAACGTGAGATAAAAATGAAACTATACATATACAATACTAAAAAATACACTCACCTAAAGGATTATTAGGAACACCTGTTCAATTTCTCATTAATGCAATTATCTAATCAACCAATCACATGACAGTTGCTTCAATGCATTTAGGGGTGTGGTCCTGGTCAAGACAATCTCCTGAACTTCAAACTGAATTTCAGAATGGGAAAGAAAGGTGATTTAAGCAATTTTGAGCGTGGCATGGTTGTTGGGTTTACAAAGACTGGTGTGAAAAGGGAAAAACATCCAGTATGCGGCAGTCCTGTGGGCGAAAATGCCTTGTTGATGCTAGATGTCAGAGGAGAATGGGCCTGAAATAACCACTCGTTACAACCGAGGTATGCAGCAAAGCATTTGTGAAGCCACAACACGCACAACCTTGAGGCGGATGGGCTACAACAGCAGAAGACCCCACCGGGTACCACTCATCTCCACTACAAAAAGAGGCTACAGTTTGCAAAAGCTCACCAAAATTGGACAGTTGAAGACTGGAAAAATGTTGCCTGGTCTGATGAGTCTCGATTTCTGTTGAGACATTCAGATGGTAGAGTCAGAATTTGGCGTAAACAGAATGAGAACATGGATCCATCATGCCTTGTTACCACTGTGCAGGCTGGTGGTGGTGGTCTAATGGTGTGGGGGATGTTTTCTTGGCACACTTTAGGCCCCTTAGTGCCAACTGGGCATCGTTAAATGCCACGGCCTACCTGAGCATTGTTTCTGACCATGTCCATCCCTTTATGGCCAACATGTACCCATCCTCTGATGGCTACTTCCAGCAGGATAATGCACCATGTCACAAAGCTTGAATTATTTCAAATTGGTTTCTTGAACATGACAATGAGTTCACTGTACTAAAATGGCCCCCACAGTCACCAGATCTCAACCCAATAGAGCATCTTTGGGATGTGGTGGAACGGGAGCTTCGTGCCAATGGATGTGCATCCCACAAATCAACTGCAAGATGCTATCCTATCAATATGGGCCAACATTTCTAAAGAATGCTTTCAGCACCTTGTTGAATCAATGCCACGTAGAATTAAGGCAGTTCTGAAGGCGAAAGGGGGGTCAAACACAGTATTAGTATGGTGTTCCTAATAATCCTTTAGGTGAGTGTAATTTGACAATTCCATGGAGGCATGTACTATTTTCACCAATATTACCATTGTACTTACAACTACTTTTGCCATCATTCTGTTTCTCAGGTGAGAAGGGATTCTGAGTATGTGTCTCAGCTGAAAAGAGGCCGGGTGCACAGGGTGTGCAGCATCACACCAGCTCAGAGGAAGCAGGGGGGAGGGGCTGTGGCAGTAGGCTGGGCTACAACTGCAGCATAGCTCTGCTGTTCCTGTGTGGATCACCAGGCATTGAGGGTCTCCTTTTTTTCAACAGCTTCATTGCCTGGCCTGTGGTGCTGCAGCATTTAGACAACACTGTTGTGTCCAGAAACTTCCCTTTAGAGTCGGCCAGCAGGACTTCTTGTGTGTGCTTTTGGGCTTGCTTTCCAGGCTGAGTCGAGGGAAGCTGGCATGGGCAGAGCTGGCTGTTGGCAGGTGGCTGTGTGGATGTCTCAGAAGGTAGCATGGTGTTGTTGGGCTGGGTACAGGGCAGAGAGGATGAGGCAGAAACAAGGCAGGGGAGAGTATGTGTCTCTGTATTTGCCCCTGTAGGGACTGATGAGAGTCGGTCTGTCATGCGTTGAACTTGCTTGGTGAAGCTCCTTTTTCTCTTCTCAGGATCCTCCTTATGCTAACTGCGTACCAAGCGTGTTGTTGTCCTGTTTGAGTGCCTCTAGACTTCCCCTGAGGTCAGATGCCTAGGTCTGGTTGTCTCTCTTGAGCTGCTGGAGCTCCTCTTTAAGCTGCTGCAGTATTGTCTGGGGGGTCAGACAGCCTGTGTGGGAGGAACAGAGATGGACAAGGTGGTGGGGTTCCCTACTGGGCTCTCATCATCTTCACTGTCAGAGGGGACATTGATTCTCAGGCTTCATTCCCTTGGGACATGGCCTTTCCTTTGGTGTAGTATATGATGACAAGCGGAGGGTCGTCCTTGTCAGGGTGTTAATCCTTACAGATCCTTTATCTGCCCCCTGAGCCCATGCCCTAGCTGGATACACATGCATAATTGCGGCACAGTATCTTTCTAGATGTTAATGGAATCAGTGAAGAATATCCATCCATCTATCCATCCATCCATTGTCAACCGCTTATCCTGCGTACAGGGTCGCGGGGGGCTGGAGCCAATCCCAGCTGACATCAGGCGAAAGGCGGGGTACACCCTGGACAGGTTGCCAGTCCATCGCAGGGCTCAGTGAAGAATATGAGGTTGTTATTCTTCCTTCCTTTTTTGTGTTCAGTGTAGTCAGTGAAGAGGATCTCTCTGTTTTTACACAGTGTCTTTTCCTTGTGTTTCACCCTAGCTGTTCCACTCTTACATTTAGCAGGGTGCTCAATGTCCTTGCTGTAATGTCTGCTGACTGGTTTCCATGGCGGCCACTTGTTTACTGCAGTGGAGATAGGGTAACCATTTACTTTGCTAGCTTTTCTAGCTCACAGAAAAGCTGAACTATATTCAGCTTACCAGTTATCTTAATGTTACCAATAAGGATCCTTTAAATTTTCTTCTCGTCTTCATAGAATAACTCTGATATTTCCTCTTCTGTTCTTGTTGATTAATGTGGTAACCTCTTCTTTAGAGTCCTCTCTGAAGATTATTTGAATATTATTTTGCAAACAGTCCTACTTTTTTAGATCCAAGTTTGTGATCAGGAACTCATCCTCAGCTACTCTTATGGAATCTTGGAATCCCTCATCTTTAATCATTATCTTATTGACCATCAGTGTGTTTACCAGCACTTAAATAACCTGTTTTTTCTGATTTCTCCAGTAACCTGACTATCTAAACATCAGGTTCAACAAAATGCATTGGTACCCTGTGAGAAAGAAAGTTACGTTTACTTCAACTGTTCTCACGTGGAACGTGTCACCTTCCTTATGAAGCATTTGTAAACCTGACTTTTGGAAGAATTTGAAATCTTTATTGTTAATTATCTCTGTTTGTTTGCCAGCAGTCTTCTTCCCTGCTTTTGTTGGTGCGTTGGTACATTTTGTGACATGTTACAGCCACCAACTGTTGAGTCGAGGAATAGCAAGAAACCATCGGCGGGACTGCGTATTATGTCACCCATGTCCCACTCTAAAAAAACATTGCTCCATTACAGTATCAGTGGTCAAAAAGGGTTCTTGTGAGTCAGGTTTAGAAGACACCTGGTTGACAGCTACATGTCTGCTGGAGAAAATGTATTTATTGGCCATGAATTCCTTTTACTGCATTTCTAACACAGTTTTTTACAAAGAAGGCATGAGCATGACAAAGAACTGGACAGTGAAAGTGGAGCTGACAGCATGGGATGTAACGTCCTTACTGTAGCTTCAAATCCTTGTATCCAAAATAATTAAATCCTAAATCTAAGTAAAACATCAACTTGCGTACGTTCCAGCAATTCAGTCATGTTTTTCGACTGCATGGAATCAAGTTGGCAATTCCTAGAAGCATGTTTACTGAGTTATAGGGATAACTTTGCAAAGCCAGAGCAGATTTCAGAGGTTTTACTCTGCAAAGTTATCCAGATAAGTCAGTAAAACTGCCTCCTGGAATGAGCCTCTGAGTTTTTTTTGCTGGTTCACAAATTTAAATATCACAAAGTTAAAACATCATCATCATCTTCATCAACAAAGCAAACTTTAGACCTTCATGCCGAGGACATGCTGATACGTGCTGATGCCGAACTTCGAGATACACACGATTAAATATTTGCACTTGCTGCGACATAGACACACATCATTTAAACACTGCTGAGACATTCAGTCCAGTCCATCTGTAATAAGGGCAAAAGAGGTGGAAAAGTAACCAGGTTGCTGTACTGTAACTGGCCTGTTTCACAGCTCAGTGACTGCACACGATAATACAGCCTTACTATCTACTATCAGTTACCCTTATAGGATAATTCTGTACCATGAGATAAAGATAAGAAATGAATGTCAACATTCAATTGTCTGCTTGAATGGTTCAGAATGATTTGATTTACTTTTTGGTCAACTGTTTCCTGTAAAGTTGCTAGAAGCAAAAACACTGTATTGAAGATGAAAATCACTGGTTGCTTTATTTAGAAAATTATCAAGCTTTTTTTTCTTTTTGAGAAAGAATCTGCTTGAGACGGAGATTTAATCACACAACACAAATGCATCGAATGTCTCTTAAACACACATTACACAAGTATTTTACTTTTATAGTGAATCCAGTGCCATACCTTAAAATGCTCGCGCCCTGTAATAACCACACTGTGTTTCATATCCACATGTGAACATCCACAGCATTTTAGAATATATTTGGCCTGTGATGCAATGAATGCTTCTGATTAGGCAGCCCAAGAGATTTTACTATTATTGATAGTTTTTTTTCTGTCTCTTAGTGAAACCAAGGCAGCCATGAACCTGTTCAGGAAGGATGCCATGACCACTAAGAAGGAGAAAGAAAAAGAGATCCAGTATGAGGACCCTCCAGATGGAGGTTGGGGCTGGATGGTAGTGCTGCATTGCTTCCTGGTAGGTCCACCTCGGGTGTTTACAATCCCTCATCTCACAAACATGCAAATATTTTGTCCATACACAACGGCTCTTCCACTGCTAGTTTTCCAACCACTGCGATCAAATGCATATCTATTAACGAGAGACTAAACTTAGAATAAAATAGTCAGTTTAATATTTTCATGTTTCCTTTTCCATAGTCTCCATATGTGTTTCACCGAGCTCATCCTGTAGCAGGAACACTAATCAAACATGAGAGCGTTTACTTTACCTCACATGCAGTCTTTGCAGCACCAAGTGAAGCCAAGGCTGAAGTGCCTTAAACCTGCATTTTTTTTAATAGCCAGCAACCTGTGGAGCCGCAAAAAGAAGTCTGATTACATTGTAGTCTATGACAAAATGACGCAACTTCTTACTTTATTACTTCGCAACTTCTTACTTTATTTCTTCAGTACTTGAGTTTATGGTCTCAATCGCTAGTTTCAAGTCTTCTTCAATATAGCATGATGGTCAATTACGTGAAGCAGGGTTTGCTTTAGGGCATGGCTACCTTGTGACTGTCAAGTCGCTACCATGGTGACTTGTCAATCAGGAAAGAGGCGAATTGTATCCACTGTACTGTGTACACTTAACTACAACTAGCCGTGAACTTGTTTTTGGGTTCTGTTGCTGTTTTTGTCGTTCATGGTTTTAAGCTAGCCAAAATGAGCATACCAATTAATATCACAGTTAATGTGAATTAGGACAGCGCAGTGGCCCACTGGATAGCACTGCGGCCTCACAGCAAGAAGGTTCGAACTTTGGTCGTCGGAGGCTTTTCTGTGTGGAGTTTGCATGTTCATACGTGTCTGCGTCGGTTCTCTCCAGGTGTTGCGGCTTCCTCCCATCGTCCTAAGACATGCAGGCTAGGTTAATTGGTGACTCTAAATTTAACCTGTGAAACCTGGGAATGTGAGTGTGTAAGGCTGTTTGTCTCTATGTCAGCCCTGTGATGTGGGTTTACAAGTGGTAACCTGTCCAGGGTGTTCCACGCCAGTTCACCCAATGTCGCCCTTTTACACTGCACGGATAAGCAGGTAAAGAGGATGGATGGATGGATGGATGTGAATTACAGATGGTTCCAAAAAACTGAGATGCCAAACTTTGTAGATGGTAGTCCACAAACCAATGGGGGATGTCAAGGTGTTACTCATCTCATTCCCATTATTTGCATCTATGTGTGTGTGCTTGCGCAGGTAAACGTCCTGGTGATGGGAACACTGAAGAGCTTTGGGATCTTCTTCGTGGCATTCCAAGATGAGTTTGGAGGCTCGTCGGAGAGCATCAGCTGGATCGGTTCCATCATGTCAAGCCTCCGTCTGTCTGGAGGTTCGTAACTGTGTCCCCTACACAGCTCTGTGTTGAATCCATCAATGAGATGTAAAGATAACGATTCCTCAAATGTTCCTTGTATAATTGTGTCTTCTTCATGTGCCCAATCAATTTGTAAGGACAGAGGAAAGGTTTTATCATTTGAAGCCACTCTTCCACTGCACGAAACATTTTTAGATTCTATGTCTTTGTGCTTCCTCTCCTGTAGCACCCCTTGCCTCTGTGGCCTGTGCCAAGCTAGGGGCCAGGGTGACCTCCATTGCTGGGGCAGTGCTGGTTAGCGGAGGCTTCCTCCTCAGTATTTTTGCCAACAGTGTGGTGTTCCTCTACGTCAGTATGGGAGTGATAGTTGGTGAGTAGTTTTCCTGATGACTTTGAAACCACAAAGCAAAACCAAAGTCATCCTCCGCATGAGAAAATCTATTTGAGGTCATTGGTTACAATTTTCTCTCTTGTCTGCCCACATAGCTTTGACAAGTAATGTTAGATAATAAGTACATTCTTTACTCCTCTTAGGAATGGGTTTTGCACTACTATACCAATCCTTCTCAGTGGTCACGGCGCTGTACTTCCGAAAGAGGCTCGCAACAGCTTATGCGATCGGGCGTTCTGGGATGGGTTTGACCTTTGCACTTGCACCATTCACTCAGCTGCTCCTGGACAAATATGCTTGGCAAGGTAGGCGGGAAAAATCTATTAATGAGACGACCCTAATATATTTCTTTAATTGGTGCTCAATGTATAATGTATGTAAGTCTGGTGTATTTTCTTTTTTGTGTGAGAATAAATACTGCACATATAAGCAGACATTCTGAGCTCTCTTTGTCCCCCACAGGGGCAATGCTGATTCTTGGCGGTCTCATGCTGAATCTGGTGGCCACTGGGATGCTTCTGCGACCCATCAAAGTGAAGCCTTCCAATTTTAACCCTACCTCTTCTCCCATCCAAAAGAGCCCTGCTGTTTCCCTTAAGAGCTCCTCAGAGAAGGAATACACTAAGAGCTGCTTGAATGGCTCCTCTCATTTATCCAATGGTATCTCTAAATCAGACTCCTTCCCATCCCCTCCTCCTCCTCCTCCTCACGGGGACACTGAGAACCTGGGGCAACAATGTACTCAGGGACTCAAGGATCAGTCAGTGAACCCTGAACTGACCAGGCTGGTCCTCAATGGTGTGAACGGCCATGAGCCCCACCATGACTTAGGTCAGTGTAAACCCACAACTCCAGACCGCTCAGCGGAGCTCAATGGCAGCATGAATGCATCGACCATTGTTGGATTTCCTTCACATGCCAGCACACCAAGTGAAGAGACCGTCAGAAAAGCCAAAGTACTGGATTTCTCCCTGCTAAGGGACCCGTTCTTTTGCATCTACACTTGGTCCTTGGTCTTCAGTCAGCTGGCCTACTTCATCCCCTATTTCCACCTGTCTGCCCGTGCCAGAACCCTGGGCATCGATGCCATGGATGCTTCCTTTATCATCTCTGTGGCAGGTGAGGCACACAGTAGTTCCTACTTTGTTTTTATGATTCACCTTAAAGGAATGGTTTGATATTTTGGGAAATGGAGCTCATTTGCTTTCTAGTTAGATGAGAAGATTGATACCACTCTCATATCTGTAGCTGCAGCTAGTTATCGTAGCTTAACATAAAGACTGTAAATGTGGTTATGGCTATCCTGGCTTGATCCAAACAAAATCCTCCAACCAGCACCTTTACAGGTCACTAATTAAAACGGTGTTTGAAAATAAAAGACAACCAACTAATAAAAAAGAAATGAGTGTATTTCCCAAAATCAAAAAGTTTTTCGACCATAAAGGTCATCTTTTAAACAGAAGCATGAACAAATTAAAAAAAAAGGTCATCTCATATATAATGCAATTAACAGAGTTACAGTTTTAGGAATATTTTCAATGTCACAATTGTTGGAGGCATTTGTTTTTTGAATACCTCCCCTTCTGGGTACCTCTGTTAGGTACAGTACTTACTGACTGACTGTGGACCATATATGGTGTCCCCCACATCCACCACCAGTACCACCCCTCACCTGACTGCCACCTTAGCAATTTGATTGGTCTAAAATCACATGATCCTATAGCAAAGTTATTTGTGGTCACGTTTGAATTTCAGTGGACCCTGTTTGCTGTTGTGTTAATTGTACTGGTTCATTTTTGTTATACGTCTCCGTTTTAAATGCACTTCTTTGCTTGATGTCTCTTATGGAAGTTGAAACTGGTGGATTTTACCAATGAAACGCATTGCAAAAGGTTGCACAAAGTTCATCTTTTATACACCAGTCATGCATTTCACTGTGTCTGAAATTTGGAAAAAGCATGTAGCCAAATGATTAACCTGCAGGCTCCTGATTGAATAGACAGCAGATTTCTGCTATTTGTCTTTAAATGTGGATTTCATAGTGACTGAGAAGAGGGAGGTTTTAAGACTGTGTTTGAGAAGCAATGCAAAAACATCCTCAGTCAACTTCTAGGCATTAATTATTTGTAAGCTGCAGTCTTATGTAATGAATGTGCTTACATAAAAGCTGAACTTTGGTCCACTGGCCAGGGTGGGTGGGTTCAGCAGTATGCCATTGATGAGGCCACTACATATGAACAGAAAACAGCATTAACATTTTGACCACCAACTACATGTGCATGTAATTCTTTAAGAGTGCTTGGTCAGACTTTGTGAATAATTGAAATGCTCCAGATGGGGTTGTGCGTTTATGAGTTACATGCTTCTGTTTTGTAATCTTTCCCTTGGTAATCAGTCCTCAGCAGACAGAAAGTATTACCTTTTGATGAAAGGTGTATTTTAGATAAGAATAATAATCTGTTGTCACTTGATGTCACAGTTTCTCATTCACCTATGTCACAAGATGTAATAATAGGAGAGAGTTTGAGAGATACTACCGTCATATTAACACAAGAAGTGCTTCATGATTTTATCCACTCTTTTTTTTTTTTATCACATCTCTTTAGTGTTAAAATGACATATAATCGTTTAAATTATGCATCAGTGGTTTTGCTTTTGAGGAATTGTTTTAGATTGCCTAAGCATTTTCTGCATTCTGAAAAGCAAGTCATTGTAAAGTACAGTATGTAGATGGCCTGGTAAACATAGGTTTTTCTTTGTCAGCATTGGTGTGCAACAGCAGCAGGACACCACCACTGCTGGCGAAAATGGGGAAAATTACTGAAAACACAAGAAACACAGCAGTGATTATAACGTTTATGGTTTGAGCTAAAACTGAAATTGGGGTCAAATAATAACATGCTGTATAAATGTTACAGACTAAACACTATTATGCACTACAATTTACAGAAAATTAGGAAAAGGGAATCCATCTTTACAGTTTTCTATTTTCGATAGATGTCAAAATTTTCCCTGATGGTCTGTGGGGTAACTTATGAGCTTCATGCCAGCGATGAGTGAGCAGCAAGACTGACAGATTCTTTTCACTCAGACACGTTTGTTCTGTCACATTCTCTGGTCATGTGCCCTGTAATGAGAGAGAAAGAGAGACAGAGCTAGAGAGAGGGGGTGCCACCCACACCACAAAGCCACCATCCTGGTGTCCTGCTGTCCTGCTGCCCCCCTTTCCCCGACCCAGCACTTGTCATAGAGGCCCATTGACTTGAAAGAGGCCACTATGGCCCGGGTCTGTCTGTTCATCAACCCTCAGTCACCAACTCTGGAGCTAACTGGAGTCGCTAAGCAACAGCTAGCTGAGTAAAGTTGCTGGCGTGGTGACAAGAGGGGCTCCCAATTTTGTTCGAATCCAGCTCTAAAGTGGCTGATACTTTGCAGAGGAGCACTGAGGCAGCAATCTGTACAAAAGAGGAGGCAAGACAAGCCAACTGCAACCTCAGAGAAGCTGGGAAAACCAATATGCCTTTTATAACCCTATGCTTGAATCTAGTGACAAAATTTCCCTCTTTGAAGCAAAGGGAATGGCATCCCTCCAAGGTCCGTTTATGTCAATGGACATTCACATCCAACTTCTGTACCTGCCAGCACAACAGACAGAAATGATCAGAACTAATAATGTCCCTGAGGCAGTTGCCTTAAGGTGCTACTTGGAGAGGCCAAAGTTAAACTACATTGTGCTTAGTTTCAACAGGAACAGCTGCAGGCCTGGACCAACCTGCTGAGGCTAAAACACACAAACAAACTCAAAACTCGTCTGAATGCAAGCAGGGGACACCCCAGGATACTGTCTTGGGTTCGCTAGAGGAGGACACATAAACACAGCACAGCTGCCTCATGTCATCCTTCTAACCTCGGAAGAGAGAAACTCTTTAGATTCTGTTGTGTAAGAAAAGCAGAAGTGTTCATTAAAGAGGCATGTTCATCCTTTATTCATTTGAACTTCATTCAAAGCCTTTAAGAGTGAAGATGTAGTTGATCATGGTTAAAAACATCCCTGTGTTCATTTATGTAGATTAATGTAACCTTTATTCACAGTAAAGGTGAATATGCATTATTTACTTGGTAATACATACTATATGCAAACTCATCCATATTCAGCAGAATTTCCATCTGTTATGAGTTCAAGTTGAGTGTCAGCGGCTGTAGCCTGTGCAGTTGTGGTGCAGAGGCTGAGCAAAGTATGGGACACTCTGATCTGCATAGAACCAGCTTGTTTCATTGATCAGTGGCTCAGCAGCGTATGCTTGTAGCTATTCCTGCGACGGTCAATACACCACTGCAGATTCTGCACCGCCTATCGAGTTCCAGTTGACCTCAGCAGAGAGCAGCACATATCTGCCGAGTCATCATACCCGACTGGATTAACACAATCAATCAGTTGTGATGGAGTGTGTGATTTGCACATGGTTTGACTGGGTGTTACCAGCTTAATGCACATGTTAACAAATGGATATGTTGCCAGACACTATTTCTGGCAACATTCTCATTACAACGAACAGGATCAACAAGGACTTGAAATAGACATGTCTAGACATCACTAATGCAGCGTGTGTACTTGTGCTGCAAAGTGTAATTTTGTCTGTCACATACACACACACCCTGTGTAGATGCACACTCCTAGCTTTCATCAAGCATAAAATAACAACTTGATTTTAAAGGAACAACATACACTCATAGGTAATACCTTCACTGATTGCCTTAGCTGCAACTTAAAGTACACTTTGCAGGGCTGTGGCCATGGCTTCAAAAATTTGGCCCCTGTACTTTTGGCCCAGACTGGCACCCCACAATCCGTCAAACACCATCCTTGCGGCCCTTTTATCTGTACTATTCCACCAGACCACTTCAAAGCTGAGTAGTAAGTGCTGTGGACAAATGTAGTTTTTATGTCCTGGTGACCAGTAAGAGTGCAGTTCTGGCTCTCTCCCCATTCATTCATAGGATAGGAGCCTGGTCTTGTTAGTCCGAAATAGCTGCCTGGAGGTGTTGCCAAGATGGCGGCTGAGTGGCATGACTTGCCTATAAAGACTTTGAAGTGTTTAATGGTCTGAGAGGAGTAATATACCTGTGTATGTGATAGGGCAATGGAATCAAGAGTGTGCTTGTTTGGGGAGTTTGAACTAAAGTTGACCTCTCCGCATGTGCACTGTTGCTCATGTGCCTTCCACATGCAAATGTATGCCTACTAGACAGCAGCACCCAACAGTTTGAACATACTGGTGGAGAACGGTCTGAAGTAGGCTACATGTAGGCCTACGTTACCCCACACATAGTAAAAACAATAATCCATAAAATATGTATCATAAAAGTTACCAGTTAGTTAATAACTACCTGAAAATAAACACAGGACAACTTGGTTGCTTGTTGTTGGAAATGAAAACTATGTTTCCCTGCATAGGTTAATAAATAAGCAGGCATGCATTTAGCACAGTAGAGCTACCAGATGAAACCTATTATACATGTATACATTTATATCAAGGGAACCCTTAGTCTAATAACTTAAATAATATTATGATACGATATGGACCTAGGTCAATAACTAGTTAGCCAGCAATAAAGTTGCTACGCTATTTGGCATTGACTGACTTGAGTGAGCACCAGCAGACGGTCTCACCTTATAGTGTTACGATAACTTATCTTATCTTATTATCATCATCAATAATTGAATAAATCTTCATTCATCATTGTCGTGGTGGCATGACACACACACTACCTCCCTGCACCCTCCCTGAGAGTCCCTGTTTCCATGCTTGCTACTTCTGCTTACCGGTTCAACTACACTCCCTCTGTTCCTTGGCTTCCCTATCACATACCCGCACCTCTTCCTGCTCCTCTGCTTGGCAGTGGCCATGACCTGCCAGCTTTCCTCCTTCTACCTGTTGCTGCATAACATTCACAACCACGACATCTGACACGAGATGTATAGAGGGCAGAGGGGGAGGGTTGGGGCCGGCCCAGTAAGAGATGTGATTGGGCCAGCCTAGTGTCATTATAGAAACCTGGTTAAATGCCAGATTACCAGTCCACCCCTGGCTGTGGCTGACTTTGACATTTAACTCTCAACCTCTGACAACTTTGGTCTGCTGAAGCAGTGTTTGTACTAAAGTCCCATCAGGATTATCTCAAAGAACAAATGTATCTACTGTTTTATGACATGGATGTCATAGTACTGAAAGCATGTCTGCATGTAATTATCTTGGAGGGGAGTCGTTTAGGGTTCTGTTTTTAATTTTGTTTTTATTTGGGTAAAGTTACTCTTTAATGCATCTACCCTATAAAACCAACATAAGTAACTTTAAAAGAAATCCCTAGACCTTTGCTTTCCAGAAGGACATTTATTTCTAGTGCTGCTTTATTCACTTAATTGCTCTGGTAATTGAGGCTGGATCTGTTTTCTAAAAGGTAAATGTGAAGGTTCTTGAGTAAAGACATTTTTATCTAAAGGTGAAGAGAGTAGAGATGTGCATGTAATTTTTGAATTCCATCAAAAACTTCCATTACCAAAGAGCAGCTTCCTGTTACATATTTTATTGCATGTGTTCCCCAGTCAGCCTCTCTTCTCTTTTTCCTTCCTTTTAGGAACATCTTACTTGACTTTATTTATCTAGAATAATCTACATAGTATCAATCCTGCTTTTTGGGAGTTCTGGGTACATACATTTAAAAACCCCAAATCAAACAACCATATTAAAGCATTGTAACAGCTTATTTGGGCCACTGTAGGCAAAAATAAATAAATCAATTACGGAGCCAGGGGAGGGGGGTAATATTCAGAGAAAAACACAGAATGTCCAAGATTAAAGTGGTAGATTAAGAGAAAAAACCCTCTGAGATTAAAGTGATAAAGTCATTAATAATACAAGACAAGAGTCAGTGCAGACAGTTAGGCAGATATGAGGGACTGCAACAAAGTCAGCATGTGTCACACCTTAGTCATGTATAATTTTTTGAACTTTGAGTTTTTCTTGTAAAGTTACCACTTTAATCTCAGGGAATATTTTTTTTAAATATGGTAAATATTTAATCTCACTCTTCACTCTCTCCCAGTTTCTCATCCACCCAATTTATAAGCCTCTCCTGATGGTTTACGCTGTTTTCTTTGTCCGTTGCAGGTATCACAGAGACCATTGCCCAGCTGGCCTCAGGCTGGGTGGCAGACAGGAACCTGTTTCATAAATACCACTACCACAAGGCCTACCTGATCCTCTGTGGCCTGGTCAACCTGCTCTCCCCGCTGGCCACCTCCTACATCCTGCTGATGGTTTACGCTATTTTCTTTGCAATTTTCTGTGGTGGATACATGGCACTGCTGCTGCCCGTTTTAGTAAGGAGATCACACTATCTGAACATGGCTATGCATTTGTACTCTTAAAACAAACAAACCTCTATTACTAGTAGGGGTGTCATTTTTAACAATGCTTTACTTTACAGGTCCCATTGTTTTGTATAATTTCCTAGAAAATAACTTGTATGTAACTTCAAATTCATAGGAAGGTTTGTGGAATGGAGTGAGTGGGCTAATTTGGTACTTATTGTAGGGAAATGGAGACAAGACTATTTCACTGTGTGGCCATATCCAAGCATGCATGCTATTTTGGTTCACGTAGGTGGAGCAGCGCAAAGTGCAGAATGGCTGGGTAAAGTGGAGTATAGATCAGAGGGTATGGTGATTAATAAGTATAAGTATAAGTAAGTATAAAGCAGCTGTGGACAACAGATGCAAGTATAAGAATCACTCATATTAATTTAAAGATAAATGCAAACCGATTTACAGATGTTCCCGCTTTAATCACATTAAACACAACTTTTTAAATGCGGATTTAAAGGCTGCTACTGGCTGGGGAGTGTTTCATCCATCCAACCCTGGACGTTAATTACTAAAAGAATCAAAACGGTTGGAATTTCAAAGCGAATTTTAAGGTCGGGAAAATACCAAACGGTCGGAATGCTGATTGTGCTGGTTGTTGCATCGCCAAGAAAATAGGGCCTTTAGAGTCTACAGCCATGGTAGCGACTCTGTGAGGTTGTACTTTGGCACAGGTGTTTACCATGTTCACCATCTTAGTTTAGCATATTAGAATGTAAACATTTGCAAATTAACAATAAGTAAGTAAGGGTGGTAAGTAAGGCTAATTAGAATATTATTAGTTTTGGAGATATATGGCCATAAACCAAAGTGTATATGGATAAATAGAATGACAGCACATGTCTTTATCAGTCCAATTTATCCTCTGAAGACCATGACCATATAGTTTCTGAGATATTTGATCATGGACCAAAGTGGTGGACCGACACAGCATGGGTAAAAATTAATTCATATGTACTTGAACAAAAATGCAGCAGTCCTTTCAATAAAATTCCACTAGAAACCAACCAGCGCCTATGTATTCAACACAACTAAACTCAAATCACTCAGAACTATCTATTTTACCTCAAGTGCTCATTGGCAAAATCATGTGCCAAATCATATAATTCTTTACAAGTAAATTATTAGGAAATTCCAGACACATAAAATAAACTGTTATCTAACTTTCATTGGCAAATTCAAATATTGTCTCAAACAGACACAAGGCAGAGTGTAAAATTTCAAGTGAAAACAATCTTTTAGAAATGTCAATAAAGGTCAGTGAAGGCAGTTAAATGTTGCAGTCTATGATATCCTCTAAATATTATTTGACTTTTCCCACAATCCAGTCTGTATATTATCAGTCTGTAGTTCATTTACCAGGGAAGACCCCTTCAGTATCAGACTCTAACCTGGTAAATTCACAGTAACTATTTGAGTGGCGGGGACTTTTGTACCATGAAAAATTGGCTTCATTACGTCATTGTGTCACACACTGGAAAGGGAAAGGTATCCTTGAAGCAGACAAATGGAAATGTTTCCCAACTTCCTTTATGGGTGGAACAACATATTAAGTCAGCGAGTATCCAGTATCATCAGGTCATATCACAGCTGAAAACAAAAACGTGAGGACATATGTGGTGTGATTTCCCTTGCCAATGGCGTGGTCTCAAAGGCCAGGACATGCCTCAGGGCCTACATGTTGACAATTGTGATTTTTTTTTATCTGAATGTGAATGGAAGAACCAGTCAAACCAGTTTTCTTCTTCAATCAGATAAGAACCTGTATTAAAGCTCTGCTCTGTCCCTGCCTTCTGATGTTCAACACTGATTTTCCTGACCAAGTTTTTCTCAAAGAGCGTTTGAAAAGGAGGACAGATAATTGTTTACATCTCCTACAATGAGAATCAAAATCCTTGCCTGGAGCCAAGAACCTTGAAATGAAACTATTAACTATATATAGTTTAACAATATATATAATTATATAAAACAATTTGTTTTATGAGACAATATGACAACCCTTTGATATTGTAAATTATGTTCTCAGACCTAAATCAGAGGTCTCAGCAGCACTGTCATGCAATTCAGAATCATCTCGAAAGAAATAGGATCATTCTTGCACTAATAGTCTGAATGGTTCATTTATATATGGCGTTGTAATTGTTTTGTGTATGCAGAAAATACATCTTTAGATTAATGTAAGAATTTGCATGCTCCTTTCTCTCTCTCTGTCCTCGCTTTGGGTGATGCAGTCAGAGATTCCAGCGCTTGTGCTATCACCAACAGAGATGTTGATTGGCTTGACATGATCTATCCATTGAGGAGGGGACCCCCTTTTCTGGGTCAGAGCCATCGATTGGCTATGTATGTAAAAGGATTTGCGGGACTCAATTGCGTATTCAGCGTATAGGGCGGGCTGGCACTGAGAATCAGATTTATTGCCAAGTAGGTTCACACATACAAGGAATTTGCTTTGGTATTTTGGTGCATAACAGTAAACATAGTGTGTAGAAAATATAAAGAAAGATAAAGAAAGTAGTCAAGAAGTATAAATAGTGGGAGGTTTTCTGCATCGTTCAGACCATCTCCCTTTTTCTCGACTGTTCAAGGGAAGTTATAAGCGATGTCACTACTGCCAGCTTCTTTTTATTCTCCCTTCTGAACATTTTCTGACAGTATGGCTGCACTAAATCGCGTAGGGTAGCTTTAGCATTCTCCAATTTTACATTGTTGGAAAAAGTTTTGAGTTCTTTTCCCCATTGGAGGTATTCAGTTTTTCCATTTGAGTTTCTGTTGTATTGACTTATTCTGATGATAAAAATCAAAGCCGAATCGATAACTTTAGCTATGTTCTGTGTAGGTCATTGCTTCATCAACAAGCTGCTGCCATGTGTGGTGCCAGAACTAAAAGTCTCCAAATGCTTCTTGCAGGTTTTAGACAATTTATTACAAGTCAAGTATTCACACCCACCATTTTCCAAAGCTTATTATACTTTTTAGTTTTTAGGATGTTTGTCCTAGGTATTGTCCATGTATTAGTTTTTATTGTTTTCCATACAGTTTATAAAGTAACATACAGATATTTAAATTCTATTCAGTTATTTTATCATATAGCACCAAGTCATAACAGACATAACGTTTGGTGCTATATAATAAAATATCTAATAAGGAAAAACTCCCTTTTGACAGGTAAAAAACATTGAGCAGAACCCAGACTCAGGGTGGAGGGCCAGCCATCTGCCTCGACTGGTTGGGTTGAGAAAGAAGTTCTACATAGAGCTGTAAAGTATTAGTAATTGTGGTGGTATTAAAGGAGACCTATTATGCTGTTCTATATTTTATGACTTATCTACAATGTTGGATGTTCATGTTAAACATGGCCAAAGCTTCAAATAATGAGTCAAATTCTCAGATTTTCTCCTGTTCTGAACACTCTGTTTTGAACTGATTTTTCTACCAACAGCTCCGTTCTACGACATACAGCGCTAGATGAAGTCGGTATTCCATATATGGTCATTTGCTACGCTCAGTCTGTCTGTACTTCCAAAGTCCTTATAGGCAAGTCATGCCACTCAGCTGCCATCATGGCAACGCCTCCGGGCAGCTATTTTGGACTAACAAGACCAGGCTCCTATCTGAATGAATGGGGAGGGAAACAGAACACTTTTTTTTCAGTTTTACTTGTCACTGCGACATGAAAACTATATGAATAGAATCAGCAGTAAAATCTAATAAATATCACTGAAAAAGTTTGACAACTTTGCCCCAAAATTAGGGGGGGGGGGGGGGGGGTTACCGCTTTCCCCATAGAGTTTTACTGAGGTTGTGATTGAGTTGTGTGTCTCCTTTATAAAACGTCTATGGCACCGCTCAGCGACAACAACAGCCTGGGGCGAGTTCAGCGTCGACAAAAAGTTTTTTTTCAACAGAAATGTTAGTGCCTTGACCTGCATGTTGTGTACACGCCCTCACTGCATTTCTGAACACTGTTGTGTTTACAAACTTATCACCGCTGATTGGGTAACACCTGTGACACGCCCACCACACAGAAGAAAAAATACCTCGAAGCCCGTTGTGGAACATTGCACAACGTTGCAACGAAACATGCCATTCAATCCAAAAAACGTTGCAAACCATTGCAAAACGTTTTGAGATTGAACTCGCCCCTTCATGGCTTGGCCAATCAGAAGACAGTGGGCTTTGAGAGGGGGGCTTTAAGAGACAGGAGAATCTACAGCTTGTATCAGACAGGGTCTGAAATGAAGGCCTACATGAAGAGGCAGTATAAGACAGAAAATTATTTTTATGAACTTTGAATCATGCAAAGCTGCTGTACAGGAGTCACAGAACTACAATATAGGACTGGAAATGAACAATAATAGGTCTCCTTTCATAATAAAAATAATAACAATAATAGGACCAATAATAATTGTAGCAGCAGGTGTTAAGCAGGAACATGGGGGCAGGAGGTGGCCCACAACCACAGAAACACCTGCAGAAAGAGACAGAAGGAGAGGAGAGAGATTAGAAAGCACAAAAGTAAGGGAGAGGAAAGATATAGAGTTAGAAACGTGCATTAATGACATAGGAATGTATACAGCTGGAGAGGGAGAGGGAGAGGAGGAGAGGAGGAGAGAAGGAGAGAAGAGCTCAGTGCGTCATCTCCCATCTGTCTAGGCCCGTAGCAGGGATGGTTCAGGGCTCACCAGAGCCAGCCCTAACTATAAGCTTTATCAAAGAGGAAAGTCTTAAGCCAACTTTTAAATGTGGAGTTGGTGTCTGCCTCCCAAACCCAAATTGGGACCTGATTCCACAGGAGAGGAGCTTGATAGCTGAGGCTCTGGCTCCCATTCTACTTTTGGAGACTCTAGGGAACCACAAGTAACCTTATATTCTGGGAGCACAGTGTTCTAGTGGGGTAATAGGTTACTCTTGAGGACATGATGGTGCCAGACCATTAAGGGCTTTAAACTTTTGCGGACAGGTTACCCCATCATGTTTTATACACCATACTTAAATGGCTGAATGTTTTCAGATTCCTGGTAGGTATTTATTTACAACTGTTATATAGTTTAGGAAACTTTTTCTTATAATATTGTAGTAATGTGATGTATATGTGATTTGTACAGTGATAAATTGCATGCAAACCACTGTTAGCTTAAAATGCAAATACGAAAGAAGATTGCAGTTACAAGTCCCAGTGTGTGAAAAGCTTCAGTTTGAATATTTTCTGCTCTGCAGGTAGATCTCGTGGGGTCAGAGAAACTCAACAACTCCATGGGCTTCTCCATGTTCTTTGTTGGCCTGGGTTGCCTGACAGGGCCTCCTTTGGCAGGTAAGATCATGTCATGGAAAACCTTCAAAAGTCTGACCTATCTAGCTAACATACTTTTCCACATGCAAACGCGTACATATGCACTGCATGTGCATAGAATTGAAGCCATTACATCACTGTTTTAAAGTGGCTTGTTACACACTGGGGAAGGTGAATTTTTACATGTGTTTCTGAATGTTTTGTGTGTGTGTGGGTCTGTCCCTAAGCGCTTCAAATGGATTGAGTGTGTGGGGGGATAAGTGAATGGGTTGATAAGTCTTTCTTATGAACACAGATTTTTTTGGGTGGCGATTCGGCACATTTTTTCATGGGGCCCTGAATTCCTTGCAATGCCTCCAAATGTGTGTCTGCCTGTCTGTGTGCATGCAGTCACTGTGGAGTGTGAAAACTGAAACCCACAGGAGAAAAACAACCTATAGTTAGTGCAGGCCCCACTGCAGACAGGGGTTTGGGGTTGCTTTGACGAAATCGCGTACAGGGGTTACTGGGGCAAATTTCCTCTTGCCTACAAGCTAGTCAAGTCTAATCCTTTTAATACCAGTGTTGCATTTATTGCTGGGTTTGAGTCACTTTGTTTAAGTGATGGCAGACTGGCTATGTTAATCTTGAAGAGCTGTTTCTAATCTGGGATCCGTTTTTTATTACAGTGATTTTGTTACATCAAGTTGATTCCTTCTAATGGACTACGCCTTTATCTGGAGCAGCCAAAAAAATAGACATCAATCATCTGCTTAACACATGATCTGATGTGACCCAAACCATTTTTCTTCTTTAATAGTTTGAACCCTGAACCTTGCACAGAACGTATACAGCATGTCTCATCATGATAAACACGTATATTTGAGCAATTCTTCCCACTCTGTGAACATCTGAGGTATTTCCAGGAAAAAAACTTCTTGACCTCATGGATAACATTTGGCTGCAGTTAAAGTGGGGGGGGTTCCCTTGAACCAAGTGACATGGTCCCTATGTGAAATGCGACTAATGACCCCCTTGACGGTGGTACGGAAATAGCATGTGGCTCTATTTACCATTCCTGCAGTTCAAGTAAGAAACTGATGTTAGGCAAGCTATGGGTCCTCCTTCAGGCCACAGGTTGTGATAACATTCCTGTTGTTACATCCAGTTCTTCAGGATAGTCAGCTCTTTGTTAACTGTCTCTCAGCAGCTGTGTGGCCATGTCTGCTTTTTGTCTGGTCCAACAACTTGTCTCACAGCAAGTAACTGAGGTGAAATTTCAACATTGCTCATTTAAAGAAAACAAGTCCTGAAATTAAGTTTACAATATGTGAATATGATTCCTCAAAAATCATTTTATGAACAAATGTCTGTGTAATTTTTGGTACTGCCTTCTAATAAGTCAACCTTATTAAAGGATTTTGTTCTAACTACCATCTTTATTAAATGGTTAATGAATTACTAAACAATTTACTAATGCTTTATAAAGCAGTCATAAGATCATTAATAAGAAGATTTGGATTGCCAGGTTGAGAAAAAACTGTTGATGGTGGTCTTCTTTTTTTATTTTGTAATAATGCAGATATAAATGTAGAGCATAAATAAATACTAATGGGTTTTCACTTTCTAATAAGCCATGCAATCTGCAGTTATAAATGATAATAAGTTATTAATGAAGTGTTTTTTCATTAATCCATCAAGTCCACAGCTGTAAATGTCTACTATATTTTTCTGTAAGGTCAGTGGTCAAACTGTCACTTGTTGGGGTTTTCGTTGTGAACAAAAGAGCCAAAAAGATAAGTGTTTTGCTAGAAGACAATAAACATCAACCGTGTGGATTTTCACAACCTGGCAACTTGTTGATGGCTTAATAATGATATATTATTGCTACAATTTACAAATGGCTTAAACAGTGTGCTGTGTTAGATAGTGGTACCTCATTTTTCTTTAATGGTGTTTTCTATGTTAACTCAAATGCAAGTTTATTTTGGTTAATTTTTGCTGATTTTCTATGCATTGTTTTTTGTCTTTGTGTAGCACCTTTTAATATTATCCTTACTCCATATGCATGGCATCCTTTTTCAGCACAGTCTCAGCTACAGGTCCGACTTAAGCCAAGAACCTTAAATACAAGAATAATTACATAGGCTCTTGCAGACATTTACAAAATGTTTTCTCAAAAAACTATAATAGAACATTTCAGGGTTGGAAAAAATATTGTTTCACTATTTATACACACAAATATAGCAGTCTATTTACATCTGAAGTGATTTTATCCCAACTTGTTTTGTGCCTTTTTCATTGAAATCAATGAAAATATGCTTATTGTGTTTGCTGATGAAGAGACTACCTCTTGAAGTGTTCCGGTGTTGTTTGTGTTTTGCAGGGTTCCTGTACGACTACACTCAGACATACGACTGTTCTTTCTACCTGGCTGGGCTCTGCTATCTGCTCTCCTCCATCTCCCTGTTCATGGAGCCGTTGGCTCAACGCTGGAAAGCCAGGAACAAACTAACCAGGGACAAGAGAGCAGAGAGCAGCTGTAAGACCAATGGCTGCTTCGCACCCGACCGCCTGCAGAACGGCACTGTGTAGGAATGAAACCCAAGGAAGGCCTTCCATCTTGAACCAGCATGCTCATAACTTGCCATGTGCCTGCATGCCTTGGACCTTGGACTCCAGCTTAAAGTAGTGACCCAAGTGGCCCTTAATTTTCTGCAGGAGCATAACACAGGCCATGGAGAAGAAGGTTATGAACACAGTAACACGAGGTCTAAGAAGAGGTGAATAGATGATTAAAAAGCCAAAATTTTGTTCTACAAACTGTTTTGTCCCCTATTTTTGTTCTTATCAGCGGCTCATGCATCCAAACCGAAGATAATTGCCCACATACTGTACATCATCCAGCACATTTTAATATTAGCATATTTGCAACCATAACTTATTAAAACGTAATACATAAATCAGTTTTCCAATGCACCAACAAAACATGTCACTGCACATGACATGGCTGGAAACAAAGCGTCCTTTCTTCAACTATTTTTTCTGTGATGACATTAATAGATGCAAATATCCGTGAAGGAATACTTTCCCCCTGATTTCTTTGGAAGCCTTTACCTGTGTCTGTAAACCTGTACTCACTGATATGCACTTTGGGCCAAGTTGTCATTATGCTGCATGACATTTCCTCTGACCTTTAACTGTCAGATAGTTAGGATACTGAGCAACCACTTAATTGCAGCCTGCGTCTATGACACGATGTGTAATCTGCTCTTTGAAGCCAAAAAGCAGCAACTGCTTCAGTAGTTTAACATAGAAAAAAAGTCTTCGTATCAACACGATTATTGTAGCCACGTGGGTAGATTGTATGGCATGTGCTAGTATTTTGAGGTATTACGATGCGCACTCATACACTAGTATTTATATCTTCTAATTACTATTCTGCCCGGTTTTTACCCATTAATTACATCAGCTCACTTTCTCACGCACACACTATTCAAACATCAAAATGTTCAGCCTATTTAGGACATCTGTACTTCTTTTCAGATAGTTTGATATTTTTAATGTTCAAAGTCTGACATTTTCTTTTCCTCTGGAACCCCTTCATAGCCATCTCATTCATACTGCCATCTAAATACTACCCTTTATACCTAATGACATGAGTTCTGTTTTTCATACCTCTCAGTTTTTCTGGAATCACAGTTGAAGCTTTAAACTTTTTTTTTAGAGCTTTTCAGAAGTTATAATGCGTGTGCTGGTGACACTGACTTCTGGCAATGGAGCATTCAAGGGCAGTGGGAAGTTGAGCTAAAATCTCAGCTTCGTTCAGCACTTGCGCATTAACAGACTCTTCAACTACTTTCGCATAAAGTAACCCTTTCACTGCTTTGATTTCAACCTGATTTCAACGGCCTTCAGTGTCATTGTTTGAATTTCAAAAGACAATTCGATTTACTCACTTTCAGCAGTAAACATATCGTTTGACATTCCAACTGCTTTCATCTCTTACACTTCAACTGACCGTTCGACTACTTTAACCGACAACCAACTGCTGTCACTGCTTACATACCAGCTAACACTCAAAACTCTCTCTTTTTTTACAGGGCTCACACTTCCAACTTGCTCTAGTACTTGAATTTGTATGTGCTTTCTTTGTTAACAGTTTATCTGACAATTGAACTGTCTTTTTCAGCATTACACATGAAATTTGAATTGTTTTCATCTCATAAACTTCAGTTGCTTTTATCTTTTACTCGTCAGCTGTCAGTTTATCCACATTCAGCACTTGAATACAAATAGCTGCCGACAGGGAACAAACTTTAAAATGAAATTTCAGCTCTAACACTAACTGTCCTAACCGACGCCTCAACACCTTTCAATGCTCACACTTCAACAAACAATTCAAACAATTTCAGTGATTCAACTGACACCTTAACTCCTTAAATCTCATTTAATGACATTTCAAGCTGTTTACAGTGTTTGCACCTGCAGTTTTCAGTGCAAGCGAGCATGTTTAATTTACTTCAGATTTTAAAAAAAAAATCTAAACCTTAGCTGTGAATTTTAAATACTACAACAAACTAGAAACTGCCTTTCTCCTTTTGAAGGTCAGTAACGATAATACACATTTAAATAACTAAACATTGACATTATGCAGTACTTGGCAGCAACTATAGATGAGAGACTGTTCACACCTTGCTCATTGTTGGTGAGCTGTTCTATGCAAATGCACAGAGAGAGAGATTTTCCTGTCATTAACAGTTCACTTGCACCTCATTTTAACTGTAGCAAAGATGCCAGCTCCTGTGTGGTCGAGATTTTTTGATTGTGTGTCATTTTAACGACCTTGTATGTCTGTAAATCTCTGGGTGTAACTGTGTTACAAAGATGTTTTGTTGATGATTCCCACATACATGTAGATGCATGGTGCCCCAACTGGACTGGTAGGAAAACAGCTGCCCAGCCTTTACAGTGCCTGCAGGCAGCCAATTAATGGCAACGCAACTTATAATTATTTTGTGTTTGTATATGGGAGTCTGTTTGATGTTGAATCTGTTTTTTTATGTAGAGGAGGTTTTTGTGTTTTCAGTGGATTCCTTGTTTTTCACCAGTTTGCCTTACAAGGTACTGTAATGTATCTTTACTAACTTCCCTGTGATGTCAGCCAAAGACACATTAGAAACCTACCTACAACTAGAAGCTTACTATATTTGGAAAAAAAAAAAGTTCATATAATTTAAACCACTACAACCACCCTATTGTTCAATCATTTCCAAGTCTTAACCGAGGACCCCAGAATCCAGGGATGGACATGTTTTGTTACTCTGCCCTCTTGTGGCAGAGGAATGCTTCTACTCAAAGAATGCTGTCTCAATTAGTACCAAATTATTCCTCCTCAACTCACTTTCACAATACTGAGCAAGGCCTTTTGTATTTGCTTCAATAACAGTCAGTGCAGACAGTCATGCACAAAAGCTCTTTTGGCTCACGAGTTGCATTCACCACCAGTATGCTTTTGTGACAGAGGTCCACTATTTTGTACCATAATAAATCTTATATGAAAAGTATTTGCTTTACAAGTAGATATTGGGTTGGGATTATTTTTCTTGTTAGTTATCTGGATATTTAAAGAAACGTAAGTTTGAGCTGTATCTTGAAAGAATGTGTATGTCCCTTTGGTTATGTCTCAAATGCCACTGATAAGGAACTGAGTTCTGTTTGATGACATTTGATCTTGTGTTTATGTTGCAGGAAATGCATTTATGGGTAAAGCACTGTTTTGTCACTACTTTGGCTCCTGGATTTGGGAACTGATAGTTTAGAAAATATCCTTAACCAATCATAGATATTCTGTTCCAAGCCATTAAAGTTCGCTTTGATGCCTTGTAATGGCGCGCAGTCAGCTGTAATAAACTGACACATGACTCAAGTCTGTTGTTGTGTGATTCAGACAACCCAGAGCAATAAATGCACTGACACCAGGCCAACCTCTACCTCTCTGCAAATAACACTCACAAGTTGAAACATCTTTAACATGTTTTATTGACACATTATTTAGACACACAGACGTGAATAAACAATCATTACATTAATTTGCATCTTTAGTTTAAAAGTAGACCCAACAAATGCTTGTAATTATTTAACCACATTTTATTTAATTTCAGGCAGTTAATGTGCTGTTAATCAAAGCAAACAGGTTACTCACAGTAGGTGACACGTGGTGGTGTGTTTACTGATGCCTGGAAACAAACTGATGTACCAACAGCTGTCCAGTGGAACTCTGTATGGGAAACATACAACGTGTATTAATCTTTACAGTGTTAAATGTTCACTTATGATCGTGTAAATTATTTGAAAATGCTTGTTAGTGCTTGTCTTTTAGAAATCTACATAGTGATCGACGTAATAGCCAAGTGAGTGTTTTATACTACAATGAACTGCATTGCAATCAGCACGGAGAACATACATCAATTGTGAAATTGTAGTTGCAACATTTTTGGCTTATATAGATTATTGTTTTTTCACCAGTGAATCAGATTATCTTTCTAACAGTAATGCATGAGAAAATATTATGACATGGGATGTGTTGAACTGAGGTGATTATACAATGCCATTGTACACCAGTTTACATTTACAAAATGTTAAGATGTCTTACGAACACTGGTGCAAAATTATAATATGGTACATTCACAAAGGATTATAGCTCGTATTTGGAAATCTGGTGACACTTACACCAAATTTAGTATACCCGTAACCTTTCAAAATTTGTGAACATTTAAAATTCCTTGTTCGAAGGTTAGAAGCTTTTATCTAATTTTTAACATAACACCTTGCAAGGCATCATATTGCTGCTTGATATATTGTGGTGTGAATATTTAGTTGCATGTCTCTCTGGTTCTGATTAACTCGCTGCGTTATTTGACACTGCGGCAGTATGACAAACAGCACATGTAGCTGCTCATGCTCATACAGCCTCAATATTATGGGAGCAGAGTAAAAGGCATACAGGTATCAGTGAAGTGCCAGATTCTGTGGTCAAGTATTGTATCACCAGATTGATTTTATTTTCACAAGCTACATTTTATTCCTAACTGTTGGCATGTGATGGATATACAGGCACCAGGATTGGGCTTCCTTTAAATTTCACATTAATATTTTCCATTTCATTATCTGGATGTTATAATTTGTGGCCTATACTTATTAACACATCATAATGCAAAAGACAATTTTGTGCCAGAAGCTTTCTTGTGTTATTGCAATTCTCTTAAATTAAATTTGCCTTCAGGCTTGAACAAAAAATTATCTAAAAAAGGTTTCTTTTAGCAGGATCAATAACTGAATCTGTGTTCGGTAGTGGCTTAGTGACAATGTTAATGTTAAGAGAGAATACAGTGGCTTGAAGCTATTTTTGGTCTTCCATGAAACAATTAGGCCTTTATACTTGTATGACAGTAATCCCCATTTGGTTTTCCATCTCTACTAAGGCTGCAAAAACATCTCATCTGGACGGGCGGATCAACAGCTGCAGTAGCCTAACTGTAAAAACTCAGCAAATTTTATTTCAACCTTTTACATAAATTTTGCAGTGAATGTAAACGAAGGCTTCTGCATGATTATCAAAAAAAGTATAAATTTTTAAAGTCTTAAAATGTTCACTATTACTACATTACTTACATTTGTAATTTATCATTTTGTTGTGTTAATTGCATGTGGAAATAACTGACTGTGCTATTCAGCATGTTATTGTAAAACATGTGGTGTTGACACTTTATACTTACCACTGCTGCCTAAGCCACGATACAGACCTGACAGGCAGCCCTTTTTGTCCTTACTCACCCTCATGCTGTTTCTATACAGTAGTCGTACAGTGATACCAACTCTGTCCAGGATGTCTGGTGTGCATGAGTGTGATTTGTCAGGTAGACTGTGAGAGGATAAGGCAGGAGCTCCCTGGTCCTCAAGATGGCAATGTTTTTCTAGTGGAGTAAGGGGTCCGTCTCAGCACAGATCACAGCATTTGCTTTCACACTAATATGACTAAAATGGATGGTAGAAGGAAATGGAAAACTTTCTTTCCTGTGTAAAGTGGCCATAAACATAAAAAGGGCATTGGCAAAGTAAACAGGTCTCCTAGAAGAATTTGGGGGAAGGCTTGGGGTCCTCAGTGTGGGTTCCTTCCAGTGTTGTAAAAAAAAAACAAGTAAACAAATTGGCCTGTTCGTATTTCATTTCCATGCTGCAGCAGACCTCAGATGATGATCGAATACAGCGTCAGCACAGCAACACACTTCTTCACTTGTCTCCTCGGAGAGGGTTCAAACAGAGGAGAGCACAAAGATGGGACCAAACAATATTCCTAGCTGAGGTCTGGGCCAATCCTCTTCCCTGAGCCAAACATTTAGTCAAATTAAATCATAACTGGGCAAAGTGTAATAAAGACAAATCAGCCCAGTGGTTCAGCTTGGCCTCTGCAGTGAGACTCAGCTTGAACTGTAGCTGCTATGGAAATTTCAGAGCGGCGTCACCCACAATCTCCCGAGTGGAGTGTGTGACAGGCGGTGATGGGATTTCCTCAGGTCCTATTCAGAACCAGGAACAATGCACATGAACTCTTTAGTGTAATGACCAGGGAGGACCAACAGGATACTGGTGCGTGCTGGTGTCTGCTGCCACCCTCGACTCCCGGACTGCAACGCTGTCTGCATCTGCATCTCACGCTGCAAACTGGATTCTGGCTGTAAACAAGGGGCAGCAGAGGCTCCTCCATCCTGATTAGGTGTTCACATGCCAGCAGGAACAGTTGAGGGTATAATAAGGGATCATGGGGGAGTGATTTATGATGGGAAACTTAGGAGCTCAGAACAAGCCAGTAAGCAAACAGCGATCCTTAAACGGTACAGGGGTCTCTCTTCACTGGTGCTAAACAAAATTGCAAATTGTCTCCCTTTTTCGTGTGCAGAAACAAAATTTCAAGTGACAACTCCTTCGAGACACACTAAGGCAGCTTGTTTCTTCAATTTCACTTCCATCGAAGAAACAGGTTTCCCTTCAAATGAACAATTTATTGATAATCGGTCACATTAAGTGCCCAAACGCACTTGCAGGTATGTGAACAGCTTCGCATGGGCTCTACGGATTTTCCTTTCCCATGACATCAAAGTGTACATTGCTCAATTTTCCATTTAAAACAGAAGCCATCACAGGTGCAGATGGGATAACACAACTTAAAAGCTGCCTCATTAGTGAGGACTCACAAACACTAGGAAGCCTTCTCTGCAGGTTTTTCAGCTCTGCACTCGTCTCCTCAGGAGTCCAACGTTGAGGTGGGTGTGATGTTCACACACATGACAATTTTCCAACATGTTAATGTTTTCAGTACATATTAAACCAAAATTCAGCAAATTATAGTTCGGGGTGGGTTACTATTGCATGACAAATATACAATGGCAAAACAAAGCACTGTAAGTAGGCCTTGGGAGCATGTTGGCAGGCATGAGTAAAATATTGTCCAATTTAGACCTCTAAAATTGAAATTCATACATTAACTGTTATGGTATTTTCTAAAACTTTAAAATTACAGACCTACTTACTGAACAAATAGCATATTTTTGTTACTTGGTACCAACACCTTACTGATACTGATTATTATTATTCTTGGAGGACCTACTGGTTTCAGAGCAATAAATGAAACAACACAAAACTCTCTAAGCTTTTTATCCATTACTACTGTAGTTTTTCATAGATCACATTACACAACCATTTCTAAGGTAGGGATGCACAAAATAAAATAGGAAGTAAAAAAATGTTGTAAAACATGTTAGTATTTGCTTTACTATGCTATGCATATTGTGTTACGGGCTGTTCCCTGGGCAGAAATCTCATATCTGTTAGTATTCAGCATTCCACATAAAGTTGAAGTAACTATTTAACTTTGTCAGTGGACATACACTGAGTTCATTGTCTGTCTTGCAATTTGGTGTTCCAATATTGAGGAACACATTAAGATTAAGATACACTCAAATGCAAACCATGATGAACCTGAACATAATTTCAATTTCAAACAGAATTCACAACATAGGTATGTGAAGAGAAGCTTTAACTAGTGACCTTCAAAATGTTTTAACTTTGAGAACGCACACAGGCAGGCCAGTGGGAGCTTCAATGCAAGTCCATCAAAATTAAAACACATTGCACAACTCTTCTTTGGTACGCCACACTCCATTCACCAAACTTTTAATGCTGTCTCGTTGTTGTCGGGGTGGTTACGTCTGGTGCACGGCATGTGGTGCCCTGGAGAAGAGCTGTGCGATATGTTTTGACCTTCAAAATCTTTCTCCAAAGAAATTAGCTTTGTAACTGCAGTACCAAATCATTCATAACACCTTTACTGAAAACCAGAACTTCAAAAATGTCATGCTCACTTGTGTCTCCATCCAAAAGTGATTATAGTAAAAAGATTATTGCACTGTAATTCAGAGCTTTGAAACAGAATGTTTTCCGATTCCCCCTCATGTATAGGAGGTAGACAAAATAACAACACCAATACAATCTAAAGCAATAAGGAATAACAGCCCAGAAAAAAACATGACCTTTGTTAAGCTTGTCATTTTCAGCTTTTGTTAAAACTGTGTCTTCGACACTATTGTAGCTTCTGATGCCATTGTTTGTAGTTATATTGTAACGGAGGTGTTATTGTGTCCACTCGTGGCAGTTCTAAACGTTTTAGTTTTTTTCTTGTAGAGTTTGATATCTATTTTATTATTATTTTAAAACTGTAAATCAAAAACAAAAATGTGTTTTCTATACGACTTATCTCTTCTTAAATGAAACTGAAATGTGTTCAACAAATGCTCCTCATATTTGACTCTTTTACAGTATTTGACTGAATTACTGAAGGTTAATGACTTTGTGAGCACTTAAAAAAAATAA